ATAAACAGTAAATTACCACGTATTGAAGGAGGTCCGCCCTGTTCGTACAAGAAATCGGCAACCTCCCAACCTTGTGGATCCAACGACTCGTCATCTAGGAATCTTATGTTACTGGAGTTCTTAGGATCTATCAACCAATTAGAAATCATTTCAGCTTGCATATTCCATCACAGAGGATGACATTCGTTGGATCCTGTAATGAAGTTAAAAACAATAACACTTAATCAAATGGTTCTGTTATTTATGCATAGTTGATTCACTACCAGCGGCGCTTGCTCCCGAGCAATAAAAAAACAATATGTGCAAGATCAAGAACATAAAAACCAATACCAACATCGTTAATCATAACCCATCAATACTCAATTGTTGTGTGAGAGATAAATATTTGGATTTCAGTGGGCTAAAAAGAAAGGATGACACTGACAACACTAATAAGGATATTGCAAGTAAACTTCAATCATGACTGCATGCTTTGTTGGAATAAAGAAAGGATGACACTTAACAACACTAATTTCCTCTGGATTCTAAAAGGAATCCAATATTAACACTGAAACCACACCTATTCATGAAGATCAAAAGTATCATAAAAGCACAGAAGAAAATACCTGAACAACATAGTCATCTGACTCATCTCCACCACTTTATACGCCTGGATGCACCTAGCAAGTGAGCACTGAGATGACTCAGCAACAAAAGCAGAAATCACTCTTTTCTACTTGTTTAGATTCTCGTCTTAAAACCAGCGAAACAGTCGTACAAAAAACACACAGGCATTACTCGGATTGATGCATATCATAAAGGGTTAGAAGGGCATATAAAGAATAGGCTAGTGCCGGTTTGACCCCAATCCGAAACTGCAATTGCTTGGTAGTGATAGACTGAGCAGAATACACGCTCACCAACTGGCCACCATGATGATACATCCTCTCAAGAGGCAATACGATGAAACGCTTCCCTAGAAAAAGCAGAAACCCAAGTGAAGGGGAAAATGGCGCCAAGTGAAGATTCCACCACAAAGTCCGAACGTTCCATAGCAACAGTGGAGCTAGGAGAGATCGGTAGCAGGGAGCAATGAATCAATGGATAGACTTTGTAGAAGGACAAATGGGATACCTCAATATCAATACGGTAAACATAGAACCCCAAAAGGGGTTTAATTGGGATTCCCAGCGTTCCAGTAATGGCGAAGACTGACTGTTGGGTTTTTGCTGCATCCTATGAAAGTTTTTTCATCTGGAAATCAAAATCACAAGTTGGAAATAAGAAAGAGAGACCCAAATAAAAGGAAACTAACAATTGAAACTGACAATCCCCAAATTAGCAATTACAATCCCATGATGAAACTGGAAAGGAACAGAGGAAATAGTGACATGTCATCGCTGGGGAGGTTCCTTGCATTGCCTTTCATAGACTTACCACCAGAAAAGTGATCGGATTTGTGCAACAACAAAAAAATAGAAAGAAGGGAGCTTTGTGCCAAGCAAATCCGGAAAAAAGAAAGAGAGAACCATGGGAAACAAGAATAAAAGGTTAGATTCAAGAGAAGAAGAGACAGGAATTGCAGCCAGCGGTGCGAGTTAGAGATCGTTCTGGAAGCCGGTTCTTCTTCTTCATGAGACGGAGAGAGAAATATCTATGGCGACTTCTTCTCACTTCTCCCTTGGCGGGAATCCGATAAAAACAAAAACATATCAGAACCAAAACAAAGAAAGGAAGACACCCAGAATATAAATAGAGCAAAGTTTTAGAAGAAGAGACTTACCTAGAGAGCAGTGGGTAGTTCTCGTCGCCCCTGCTACCTTCGGAAATATACAACGGCGACAGTTCCTCTTCTCCTGCTCTTGTCAAACACGCAAATCCAAAAAGAAAACGTCGGATAGGATTAGCAGGAAGCTATAAATTTAAAATCTAAACATACCTTTTTTCCAAAATTGGAAAGTAAATTAAATCCATAAAAGAACTCACCTCAGACGGTCGTTGTCCCACCGCCGGCAGCAAGCTATGATTCCTCAGGCTAACGACCTCTCCTCCTCCGCCTATATTTTATCCTTCCCTCTTCCTGATCGAGAACCCCATAACAAAAAAGGAAGCAACCAGAACTCAAGCAAAAAAAAAAAAAAAGGGAAAGCGCTTCTGACCAAAGTCATCGTTCCCGGTACAATAACCGCTGTCCATAGAAGGCCTTCCTGTCACCGCCATCGCCGTTCACGTCTTTCTCCTTCCCTCTCCCTGAGCGAGAACCCCATAACAAAAACAGAAGTAATCAGAACTCAAGCAAAAAAAAAAAAAGGAAAGTGCCTATGACCTAAGTCGTCGCTGCCGTTACAATCACTGGTATCCATAGCAGTCCTTCCCGTCGCCGCCATCGCCGTCCTTACCCTTACAGCCATCGACGTTCACGTCTTTCTCCTTCCCTCTCCCTGATCGAGAACCCCATAACAAAAAAAGAAGTAATCAGAACTCAAACCAGTAAAAAATATATGGAAATGTAATATGCAAAAAGGAGAACGCTTCTGACCTAAGTCATCGTTGCCGAGACCATCTCCGGCATCCATGGCAGACCTTACCCCGGCAGACCTTATTTATGCTTAAACTTTTTTCATGACGCTAATGTTTAAACTTGTATGGCTAGTAATTGATTCTACTGTAACTTTTGCATAATGAAGCAGCTTCTCTGGATCTATTCAAGAAGTATTTAAAAAAAAACTATTGAGTGCTTAGATGAAAAACTATCAGAATTACTTTTTAATATAAGAGGTAATGGAAATTGACTTAAAAATATGTCTAACATAAAATATGAATACAAATTCTAAAAATAAAAATAAAAATTTAAAATGGATCACGTTAGATTTATTTCATATTAAATAATACTATTTTTCAATTTATTTTTTATAATGATATAAATGAAAGAAAATTATATTTTTTAGAAACTGAATAATATATGTTAAAGTACAATTTTGTATTTTAAAATCGAAACCTGTGCTTTTAAGTTACGCAAACTTAAGCTTTTTAAAAAGCGAAACTTTAGAGGTGTATGGTTTGGCTTCAAATTTTGAAACATAAAACTTCTAAAATTCGGATCAAACATAGTCGTACTATTTTGGGTTTTTTTTTTTGGTTTGAGGTCATCGTGGTTCTTCTTTATGAAATTTTTGGACTAATTGCAGGTTTGAGAAGGTTCAACTTGCATTGATCGGGTCAAATTATGTTGGATACACATGGATTTGGGTTCAGTTGTCTTTATTAAACAAAAGGAAAAAGCGAAATGAAAAACACTAAATCTAAAACTCGCTACCGACTCAAAACTCGTCAACACCAAGTTCAACTCACTTTGACCAAATTGGACCGAGTTTTGGAAAAATTCACACCTAACACAACACGCCAATTACAAAAACAGATAAAACTCGCTCCCGCCAAAAACCTGTAAAATTGGGTTCAAGTCGCTTTGGTCGGGTCGAATTAGGTTGTATACTCATGTGTTTGCACTCATTTGTCATTCTCAATCAAAAGGGAAAAGATAAAAAAATTACTAAAATGGATAAAACTCGCTCATGACCCCAAACTATCAACACTGCATTCAACTCGCTTTGACCAGGTCGACCCATTTTAACAAATTCACAATTTACCCAACCTGACAATTACAAAAGCAAATAAAAATCACTCTCGATACGAAATGTGTCAACAATGTGTCAGAGTTCAATTGTCATTCTCAACGAAAAGGAAAATGAGAAATAAAAAAACATTAAAGCGTACAAAACTCGCTTTCGATCTAAAGCTGGTCAACAATGTGTTCAATTCGCTTTGAACAATTTTTTAATAACGCTTGGTCCAACCTGCCAACTACAAAAGCGGATAAACATCGCTCACAATACAACACTCGTCAAAACCTTAGATTCAGGTTCAATTGTCTTCCCAACCAAAAGAAGAAGAAAAGAGAAATTTATAAATGCTAAAGTCTGTTTCAAGTCGCTTTGACCGGAACGAATTAGGTTGGATACCCATGGATTTGGGTTCAATTGTGATCATGCTCAACAAAAAGGTAAAAATGAATGAAAAAACACTAAAGCGAACGAAACTCGGTCCTGATACAAAACTCGCCAACATTGAGTAGATATGATATTGATTTTCGGTAGCGACATTGGGTTCAATTGTGATCATGCTCAACAAAAAGAAAAAGAGAAAGAAAAAAACACTAAAGAGGATAAAACTCGGTCCCGATACAAAACGTGGTAGCGGCCTTGGGAAGCGATGGTGGGGAACAACTTAGGATTCCGCCGACAGTATTTCGAGATGGACTGTAAAATGGTGGGCAAATCATCGCCTATGGGAAAATTCAAAGTCTTTCGCTAGATTTTCGTTATTGTTCGCTAGATTTTCGTCTATGTGTTTAGTTATTGTTCGCTAGATTTTCATTTATGGTTTTTTGCACAAATCATCGCCTTTATGTTTTGTTATTGTTCGCTATGTTTTCGGCTATGGCTTTTTGCACAAATCATTGACTTTGTGTTTAGTTATTGTTCGCTAGGTTTTTGTCTATGGCTTTTTGCACAAATCATCGCTTTTGCCACCATTTTGCAGCTCATCTCGAAATACTTTTGGCGGGATCCTAAGTTGTTACCCACCACCGTTTCCTATGGAGAGTGGGGTAAAAGAAAGACTTTGAATTTTCCCACTTGCACTTGGAGGAGTGTGAGAGCCACTAATGAATAGTAACTCAAACCTAGGCTTTTATATATTAATTAACGGTTCCAATAAGGATCGATTTCACAGCTGAAAGGTTCTAGCAATGACTGATTAATAATCACAAACGATTGATTCATTAAGAATGGGATAACGATGGAGCCATACAGTAGTAAAGCTACATTGTACAGCAGTTCCAGACATGGAAACTACAACATTAAAACCGATTACAACAACAACAAATAGAGGTAATTAATATGAACTTCCACTCTCTTACGGACATCCTTTATTTAAGTGGCTCACTCCCATAAACTCTTGGATCAAACAAAGACGACAGCAATAGTACTCACGACCTTGTATCCATCATCACCAATGGAGTTCCAGACCAAGGAACCTTGGCCAATGATACTGCTTCTCGTCACATTCTCCAACCTGGTAAATGTCACAGTGTAGCTCGCTTTGTCGTTGAGGTCTTTGAACCTGATCACACTAGGCATGACTTTGACAGCAACCCCTTGAGGCGACAAAACCTTACTGATGTACGTCGAGAAAGGCCGACCCACATTAGTAACAGTTCGAGTGTAAGTCATCTGATCACCGGCACCCAATACCATCGAAAATGTTGGGTAGTTCAGCTGAGCCCCCGGTATCAAAGTTGGAGTCGAGCAATTCACCTTTCTCTGCACGATATATCTCACCTGCTGCTCGCTGTAACCCAACCCACAGAGGTAAGGAATGTAATCATCCGGCTCGATATCATAAACCAGACCAGGGTTCAATGCCCTCAATGTGTGGACATGACCCGAACCCCTGTCGAACACTGTGGCAGAAACATTCTGCTCGGTGGAGATCGGGTTGCCATTGAGATCAGCGGTGTAGGCAGTGGTCAAAATGGCCGACTTGATAGCTGCAGGGGACCAATCTGGATGAGCACTCTTGATCAGAGCTGCAACTCCACTCAAATGTGGGCATGACATTGAAGTTCCTGAGATCACATTGAATGGGTTCGTAGCTTCGTCGATTGAGACTCCCCAAGCAGACAGAATGTTGAGCCCGGGGCCAACTATGTCGGGCTTCAGGATCCCCGGAGATTGCGTGCTAGGACCTCGGGAAGAGAAGGAGGCCATTTGTGGAGCAGGTTGTGACTTGCCAATCAAGGTACCTTGGAATGAGATTGTTGCAGTGGGAGATTGCGTGGATATCAAGTAATTTTTTAGTACCAATCCATCCTTGTAACTGATGTGTGATGCGGGAAGGACGTTGGCTGTAGCAAGAGTAGTGTATCCATCATCCTGCTCGTTGAACACGATCATGGCTGCGCCACCATTGTCCTTCACTTCTTTACCCTTATCCTCGATTCTCAATTGTCCCATGTGGCATATGACTATCTTGCCTTTAACATCAATGTTCTTCAGTGACCCTTTCTCACAAACTGCTGCTGATTCATTATTGCTAATTGCAGCAGGATGGACGATTGGGAGTGGCTGCCGTGGATGGAAGTCTTTAGGCTGGAAGAGGGATTGGCCATGGAGCTCCACATTGTTCCCCAACTTCACCGTAGCTCTGATCTCCCTATCGATCGTGCTCGCTCCGACGGTTAGAATCCATGGCGCATCGTTGGTTACTGTACTCGGATAAGGTCCATCATTTCCAGCTGAGCAGCTCACAAAGATACCCTTTTGAATGGCTCTAAATGCACCCAATGCAATCACGTCGTAGTAGAATGGAAAAGGAGATTCAGGTCCAATGGAGATTGACAGCAGATCAACGCCATCATCAATAGCAGCATCGATTGCTGCCAATAAGTCACCATCGTAGCAGGACACTGCACAGGCCTTGTACATTGCCACATGGGCTCTAGGCGCGATCCCCGTGGCTGTCCCATTCGCTTGTCCAAACACGTTGGCACCTTCTACAGGGCACCCTGCAGCTATCCCTGAAGTATGACTCCCATGGTAGGCTTCTTCCCACGGGAGATCGGTACCTCGAGCAGTAGAGACGAAGCTTCGAGCACCAATGAGCTTGTTGTTACATGTTTGCTTGCCGTTGAAGTCACACCTGCCTCTCCATCTGGCAGGCGGGGGAGGCATGCCTTTGTCGGAGAAAGAAGGGTGATCATACTTTATCCCCGAATCAATCATCCCAATGATCACTCCCTCTCCATAATTTGAGGCGTTCCCAGCTCGTAGAATATTCTGTGGCAGGCCGAGAAACTTGGGAGTGAAGGTTGTGTGTAGTGGGAAAGATCGTTGGACTCGGGCCGAGATGAAGCCTTCCTTCTGTTCCATTGCTTTGGCTTCCTGTGGTGTGAGCCTAGCCGCAAAGCCTGTGATCACATTACGGTAGGAGTGGACGATTCGTTGTTGGTTCGAGCTTAGGCTTGTAGTAGCCTCTGGGAGGAATGTGGTGTACCAGTCATGTAGATTGGATTCTAGTAGGCCTGCTGGTTTCTCAACAGAGACAATGTAGGTTTCCAAGTCGGTTAATCCAGAAGCCGATGCCTCCTGAGAGAAGGAGGAGAAGAAGAATGCGGAAGTTAAAGTGAGGAAGATGAGGAAAAGGGTTTTCATTTTTACTTGTTTTTCTTTTAGTGACTAAGTTGGTTTAACTTTAGGCTGCTTCCTGATACTGGAACTTGAACCTTGATCATCAATATATAGTGACAAAGCCAGTCAAAAGTAATTTTTTGGCCCTTTTTAACTCGTTACTGAAGAGGGTTTGGGTTTAAAAACCATCTCTCTCTACTTGGGTCACTGTCTGCAAGATGCATCAGTGAGACATTCCTTATGTAAAAGACAAACCAGCAGGTGGCAGGCACTGTCTGTGTAATTTCTGTTTATGATAATAGTTAAGGAAGCAGTAATGAGTACCATATGGCAAATCGTTATCTTGTACGTTAGAAAGTGCTGCATTATTCACTGGTTTATTATCTGGTTTGAGAGGTGGGGAATTTGGAAACTGGGGTTTTCTGCTATGAGGATTACTTCCACACATAAATGTTCCATGCATGGCTGGCTGAAGTCTTAACGTTATTCAACTTACTAATATGCTTCCATAACTACTTTTGTTTTTGTCATATAATGGGTTGAAAATGCTTTGGACTTAGCTTGGATTTCACAGGGTATGTACTATGTAGGGTATATGCTGAGTAATAATTACGTGGGATAAGTGTAATCATGCTCATAAATTCATAATAGATGGTGATGGATAAACTGCTGTGTTATTTGGAGTGTGAAGGGCAGGTTGTTTTGGGTCACTTGTGTTCTCTCGTGACAATAACTCGGAAATATAACTTCAATCTGTCTCGGGCAACGTTCATGAATGAATACTATCCATTCTGATTCGGTGTTAAGAATGGGCTGGGCATAGATATTAAAGTACCACCTTGCTCCATTGCCTTATTGCTATCTTGCAATTTTGTGGAAGTTGATGACTAGGAAAAGTTTGCTATCTTTTGGAAGTTCAAGTTGTTATTGAACCGAACGATTAGGTCGATACTTCTTTTATTTCATGTGATGGTTTAGAAGGAGTATCAAAACCATGTTAATTCGAGTGTATGTGAATACTTTTATGATAATAGATGACCGTACAGTTAACTGAGTATGGGTTATTAGATCATATGAACAAATTGTTGCCTCATATCAAGTATTTATATGGATTTGTGAGGTTGTCATTCACGCACCCACCGACTTTTACTTTTCCATTTGGGTCCAGTAATTTGTGTTTTTCAAATTACAAAAACATGCCTCCACTTTTTAATATTTACTCAAATCACTTTTATAATAAAAAATGGGTAAATGCCAAGTTTGGTAATTGGGTTTACTAAAATGGGTCATGTTTAGTCACTGAAAAAAATTAATATCAATTTTGGTCACTAAGATTAGTTTAACGATCCAAGTTTGGTCACTCTTCGTTAGTCTCCGTCCAACTCCGTCAATGGAGTCCGTTAAGTGCTGACGTGGCAAACGAAATTGCCTCGCCAGCTGGATTTAACCCATAAATACTAAACCTGACCACCACATCATTATAGCACGCCACCTCAGTCTACCCAAACCAATACAAACCCTAACCCTCCCCGACTAGATCATCTTGACCCTTCTCCACCTCTCTGAACCTTCTCATCCGCCTCCTCTGCCTTCTGTTTCTCCCTCTCTTCCTCCATCTTCATGCTCACCAACAAAGGTCCACGCCAACAAACAAAAACAAAACAAAAGCCCATCAGATGGATTCCAGAAATTCGACGAAACCCAACAAAGCACAACCCAACAAATCTTCCCCAGCTAGCACCAACTCGGGTTTGCAAATGGGGTCGTTAACCGCTCTCTGCCGCCTTCGAGCCCAGCTCTGCTCTGCAAATCGATCGTCGACCCCAATTCTGCCACCGTGGAGCATCATCCTCACTTTCTTCTCCACCGCCAAAATCTGATGTTGCCATCTGTAGGGGACAGAGTGTTCGAACCTCCGTCGCCACCTTCATCGTGGCAATTTGTTGTTGAATCTGTGTCCTAGGAATGCCAGATGACGAGCCTGTACGAGATTCGAACCCCACCTGTTATGTGAAGCCCAAAAAACGGCCAAAAGCTTTCTCATCTCTCCTCCTGAAGGCCCTGGTAGTTGAGAAACCGACGTTGGCCAGATTTGGATTCTCCTGCAATTGAAGATCTTTTGGGATAGATGATTTCTTCCGCACAACATTTAGCGCAAGGGAACGGAGAAGATTAGCGTAGCATATAGCGGTGGCCAGATTTGGAATCTCCTGCAATTGGGTTTAGGGGTCGTTTGCTTCATGGATTTAAAAATGAGGGTTTTGTAATTTAAAAACACAAAGATTTATCAAGGATTTGAGGCATCATGGATTTATAACAATCATTTGTTTGTTGGGATGTTTTTATCATGGATTTAAAGGTGTGGGATTTACTACTTGAAGTCAAAAATTACATTACTGCCCTTTTCTATATGTTTGACATGTTTATGATATGTACACAAAACAAGGACAAAACTTCAAAATTACCTTACTATCATTTTCTATATGTTTGACATGTTTATGATATGTACACAAAACAAGGACAATACATACTAATAAGCATAATGTTGCCACATGGACAATAATAATAAACGAGAAAATTCCGTTTTAACTTTTAACGTAACATAATCAATTACCAATTCTTTGTCCTCCTTTTCAAAAGTAACATATAACAACATATATTAGAATCGGGAGAACAAAGAATTACACGTTCCATGAAAAGGTCAAAGAAAACTAGAACACAAGAAATGATATAAAAAATCTAACTCATGTTTGCACATTAATTGAACGTTTATATTATTCATTTATTGTTAATTATAATGTATAATAGTTAAATTTGAGGGCAACCTTGGAATATTAAAAGTGCATGAGGGTATATAGGTAAAATCTCATCAAGGATTTATGCCATATTCCAAATCCCACATCAACATGTGGGATTTATAAGTCCGTGGGGTCCACGGATTTGGACCCTTAAAATCCGTAGGCCCCACGGATTTGGTCTCCAAAAAAGGTGCAAGCAAACAACGGATTGTACCTAAATCCTTGATAGTTGGTTTTTTGGTACCAAATCCATGTACCAAATCCTTGAAGCAAACGACCCCTTAGTGACTTGCGCAGGAGGAGGACGAAGGCGGCGACGAAGGGAGGAGAAGAGAGGCGTGGTTGGTGGGGTCACTGGCGAGAATTAATTGAGGGAAGAGAGGTGTTGCAGAGATCTAAGTCAGGAGGTTGCTTAGAGATATGGTGATGGGATTGGACCAGATGATTTTGGAGAAGAAGAAGAAAAAGAGAGATGGTGGTGGGGGTTTGTAGATCTGCTGGGTTAGATGAGAGAAAGAGTAGATGTTGGGCAACTCGATAAGGCATGACAGATTCATGGGTTCGGTTCATCGGGTGGGTTGGGCAAGATGACGTAGCGGCTCGTGATGATGTGGCGGGTTAGGTTTAGTATTTTTTGGCTTAAATTCGGCTGATTAGGCAATTTCGTTTGCCATGTAAGCACTTAACGGACTTCATTAACGGAGCTGGACGGAGACTAACGGAGAGTGACCAAATTTGGACCGTTAAACTAATTTTAGTGACCAAAACTGATATTAATTTTTTTCAGTGACTAATCAGGATACATTTTAGTAAACCAAGTGACCAAACTTGGATTTACCCTAAAAAAAGGACAATGCAACTACGCTAAGCCCAACGGAAACACTATAACAGTATGGGCCTCAAGTACTAACAGGCCCAAAGTAGAAACCTTGGCAGTTAATCGATCAAACGGAGGAGAGAGGACTTTGGCTCCCTCTGTTCGTTCTGTTCTTCCCAAACCATCCTGGACACTTGTATCATTTGTTCAATCAAACCGATTGCTTGCCAACAACAACAGATGGGTAATGTGAAACTCTGATATCTTATTGATGTTCTTTAATTTAAGCGGCTTCGTTACATATAAACTCCTCTTCAAACAAAGACAACCGCAAAGGTGCTAGTAACCACATACTTACCACCATCATCATCATGACCAGACCAGACCACGGAGCCTTGACGAAAACTAGTAGTACTACTGTTACTTGTTGCCACATTCCTCAACCTAGTAAACGTAACAGAGTAACTCGCTTTCTCTCCCACCTCCTTGAACTCGATCTCATTAGGCGTGACTTCAACACCAATGATCCCTTTCCATGTAACAACCACGCTCATGTACCTCGAGTTAGCCCGACCAACGTTAGTAACCGTTCTAGTGTACGTCTGATTATCACCGGGAGCCAGCGAGATCGAGAATGTCGGGTAGTTCAGCTGAGCCTCCGGTATCGAAGATGAGCAATTCACCTTTCGCTGCACGATCGTTCTCACTTGCTTGTCGCTGTAACCCAACCCACAGAGGTAAGGATTGTAGTCATCCGGTTCGATGTCGTAAACCAGCCCGGGGTTCAGTGCCTTGGATGGGTCCACATGGCCCGAACCCATGTCGAAAACGGTAGCAGGAACATTCTGCTCGTTGGAGATCGGGCTGCCACCGAGATCGCCCGTGTAAGCTGTGGTTAAGATGGCCGACTTTATGGCTGCAGGGGACCAATTCGGATGAGCACTTTTGATGAGGGCTGCAACTCCACTCAGATGTGGGCAAGCCATTGAAGTTCCAGAGACCACGTTGAATGAGTTAGTAGCATTGTCGACAGATTCCGCCCAAGCAGCCAGAATGTTGACCCCGGGGCCAATGATGTCCGGCTTCAGGATCCCGGGAGATAGCAGGCTAGGACCTCGGGAGGAGAACGAGGCGACTTGTGGAGCGATTTTCGACTTGCCGATCAAGGTACCTTGGAATGATATTGCTGCGGTTGGGGATGACGTGGAGTTCAAGTAACCCTTGACTAGCAATCCATCCTTGTAACCGAGGCATGATGCAGGGAGAACATGAGCATCAGGAATAATAGTGTCACCATCTTCAACACCATTGATCAAGATCATGCCTGCTCCCCCATTGTCCTTAACTTCTTGCCCCTGGAAGATTCTCCACTCTGGAAAACTTGCCTGGCATATGACTATCTTGCCCTTAACATCAATGTTCTTCAGTGACCCTTTCTCACAGAATGCTGCAGATTCACCATTGGAAGCAGGGTCCACAAGTGGCAGCTGCTTTGAATGGAAGCCTTCAGGCTGGAAGAGGGATTGGCCATAGAGCTCCACATTGTTCCCCAACTCAACCGTCGCCCTGATCTCTCTATCGATCGTGCTTGCTCCGACGGTTAGAATCCATGGCGCGGCGTTGGTTACTGTATTCGGAGAAGGTCCACCATTTCCAGCAGAGCAGCTCACAAAGATACCCTTCTGGATGGCTCTAAATGCTCCCAATGCAAATACGTCGTCGAAGAAAGGTACACTACCATTGGAGTAACTCATTGAGATTGAGAGCACATCAACGCCTTCCTCAATAGCTGCATCCATTGCTGCCAATGCGCTACTCTCAATGCCGACCTTGTACATTGCCAAGTGGGCTTTTGGCGCGATCCCCATGGCTGTCCCGTTCGCTTGTCCAAACACATTGGCGGCTTCTACAGGGCTCCCTGCAGCTTCCGATGCAGTATGACTCCCATGGGGTATAGCCTCCACCGGGGCATCCCCATCCCATATGAAGTTTCTAGCACCGACAAGCTTGTTGTTACACGTTCGCTTGCCATTGAAGTCACACCTGCCTCTCCATTTGGCTGGCGGGGGAGGCATGCCTTTGTCGAAGAAAGAAGGGTGATCGTGCTTTATCCCCGTGTCGATCAGGCCAATGATCACTCCCTCGCCGTAATGTGAGGACTTCCAACCTCCTACATTCTGTTGCAGGCCGAGGAACTTGGGAGTGAAGGTTGTGTGAAGGGAGACAGGTCTCTCAACTCTAGCTGAAATAAATCCTTCCTTCAGTTCCATTGCTTTGGCCTCTTGCGGAGTGAGCTTAGCAGCAAAGCCTGTGATAACATTGTGGTAGGAGTGGACGATCCGTTGTTGGTTTGGAATTAAGCTTGAAGTAGCTTCTGGGAGGAATGTGGTGTACCAGTCGTGTAGCTTGGATTCTAGTAGGCCATCTGGTTTCTCTACAACCACAATGTAGGTTTCCAAGTCGGTTTTCACGGAAGCTTCTGATGCTTCATGGGAGAAAGAGAAGGTGGTGAATAATGAAGTGGTAATTAAGGTGAGGGAGATGAGGAAAAAGGCTTTCATTTTCGTTTCTTTTTTTCCAGTGAGCAAGCTTGTTTACTTAGAGGTTGCTTGCTTGCCTGCTACTGAAACTTGAACCTTGTTGATCAATATATAGTGTGACAAACACTATCTGGTCTGTTGCGGGTCTCTTTCTGCAGATGCTTTAGTGAGACATTTTCTCAAGTAAATGACTAACATCTACTGGGTTCTAGTTATGAACAACGGTAATGGTATCAGCAACGGAAAGTGGCAATTTCCCTTCTTCGACATTGCAGCATACTAGCAATGTAGTCACAGGCATACTTTTAAAAACTCCCACAAGGCCACATGCAAATGTTGTAAACTACTTTTTTGTGGCATTTTCTGCATTCTGATAATCCTGTTGCTGGAGATGCTTCTATGCACCTGATCTTTGCCTGCTATTTTCAACAATCCGGATATTTTCATGCCACACCATTTGGAACTAACTACTCCATATGGAGCAAGTAGCAATGTCATGTTGATAGAGAGAGCCATAGCCGCAGCCGCGGCCGCGGCCTAATAAGCTTAGGGGAACAAGTCAAATTCTCGCCGTTGCACGGCTACAATCTGCATGCCTTGAACACTCATCTATAGTAGACTATCTACTTAAGATTTGCAATGGGTCAAGATTAAAGCAGCAGAATGGCGATTCTTGTCATGTGGTGCCTAATCAGGCAGCCTAATCTCTCCCTCCCCATCCGGAAGAGTGGTGATGCTTCTCTCTGCCATCTACATGTTTTGCCTTCCCCGAGTCCTGCCGGCGTGAAGATCCGCTCTGCTCTACCGGGTGGTTTACTACAGACCGCCCAATCATCGGCTTCGGACGTTCTGTTGAAGGAAGGGCCCACCCTCCACGACCAGTCTGTGAATGATTCTGTCCACTCCCAATGGCCCCTGAGCAATAGGAGTTTTTTTTTTTTTTGACAATAAGAGCAATAGGAGTTGGTGGGAGAAATTTGTTACCACATAAATTAAGATAGAAGAAGATAGAAAATAGCAGTACAAGTTCTAGCAGCACATTCCTGAGTAACTTGACAAACGACCGACTCTTCACAGTCCCAGACATCAAGAACAAGGACAAGCAGTTCATGAAAACTTCAAGCAAAGGACTCTTGTACAGCTGAAACAAAAAAGAAAAAGACATAAAGCCAAAATTATTCTTACTCATATCCTCACGACCACTGAAGTTCCTTCCCCAGCCAGGCAAATGAGGTCCAGCACTACCATTCCAAGCTTGCTCAAAACTAGCAAGTTCATCTAGAAACACAGGATGGGGGAAATTAGGCTATATCGCACATTATGCTGGGACAAACATTAAGAAGTTAGAATTAGGAAGCTCACCTTGCTCAATATTGTGCAGGATCTGCTGTGAATCCACATTCCCGTCAGAGTTAAGCTTACGTGCTACGGTATGACCCTGTGGGCATTGATAAAAACAACATCAATCAAATCCAATTTATTCAAAAAAAAAAAAATCAAATCCAAATACACCATAGATGCAGCAACCGATAACAGCCACAAATAATTCAGGTACCTTGTTGTGTAACCCCCTGGAAATCCTATGAGATGCTATGCCTGTAGAACTATCAGCTTCTTTGCTTTCTTCAAATGTTACCTGTTTTCCAGTCAAAGTTATAATAACATACAAGACAAGAAGACAAAAACAGCAGCTTGCAATAACCTTCCATAGCTAGAGGACCTCACCCCATCATTTCCTGTTCTCCTTGTCTTGGATGAAGTGTAGTAAGTTCCACCAGCACCACCATAGGAGACACTTGAACTTTGAAACACAAAGCTCTGACTTTGAGGCCGAGACTGAACTCTACTGAAACTGTTGTGCCTATTTTCAGCCATCAACTGCTTGCGCTGCCTGCCTGTTGCATACAAATTTCTTAGCTAAGCAATGGTTCATATGTAACTCTCTACATAATCACAGGCGTGAACTTCACAGTAAGACAACCAAAAGCTCACCTTCAGCTTCGTCGTCCACTTCCTCAACATATGGCCCTTTACCAGACCTCCCATGCTTTCTGGAGTTCTCTTTCCTCTCCTTATCAGCATCCTGCTTCTCGTCATCAGACTCTAGTTCCTCAATTGTCGGTCCTTGTGATCTATTGGGTACTGGAGCTTGATGCTCAATATATGTTGGTGGATGCATTGGCGCGAAAGGATTTGCATGGGGGCCAAAGATACTGGACTCGAACATTCCTCCAAATGGACAAGTAAAGAAAGGATCGTCGAATGGGTTCCTTCCGTCGAATAAGCCAGGCAACATGCTCCTCCGCCCTCCAAATCCTCCAAATCCCCCAAAACCAGCAAATGGATCACCACCGAAACCAAAGAACGGATCCCCACCTCCCCTTCCTCCTTGCATTTTCAGACAACTGGTTCAATGAAATAGCAACATGCAGCAGCTAATCAGTCACAAACCCGATGATCATCCGCTTGTACAATGAAAACACAGACCAATTCCAAATATGGAGAACCTAACCTCTATTCACTTCAATAATCACAATACACAATTCTACAAGCAACAAACGCGACTCAAAGCTAAGTAATCTAGCTAATGAAAATCATTCGCCTAAAGCAACTAACCGGAGCTTAGATTGACCCAGAAGAGGAACAGATTTTCATAAGTTCAGCAAAAAGTAACTTGGAAGACATCACGTCAACAGTGCCGATTTCAACGGCTCATCCACTAGATAGCACGACACTCTCGAAGAAAAGAAGGCGATTGACAACACCAAGTTCGTCACTAAATAGAGTAAGGAGCTCACGGGAGCGGCAAATGTAATGAGAATTGAAGAAATGACGAGAACAGGGAGAGGAGACGATACCTTTCAGAAGCAAAGGAATTAGAAATCCGGCGATCGAATCAAAACCCTAACCGGAATGGCGAATGGTTGGTGTCGATGCGAGGAATTCAGGCTACGAATCTCAGTTTGCAGGCGCAACTTTTTTGAGTTTTTCCCTTCTCGCCGACTAAAGGGACGCAATAAGAGGAGAGAGCTCGGAGCAGGTAAAGCGGAAGATTCTGGCGTCTACTTCCGACGCGGCACGTTTCAAGAAGATGCATACTTACACGTGTCCGGTGTCTCCGCGTTGCTTTTTTTTTTTTTTTGACTGAAAAATTCATTCAAAACCCGAGAAAGCGGTTACAAAGTCTCAATGAAGCCCAAGGAGAGGGGCAATGATGTTAAGAATCAAAATCCAATCCTGAGGAAGCTCCTCAGGCGCAGTAGCACGCGCCACCCAATCCGCCCGAGCATTAAGTTTCCTTCTGAAGAAAGAGACCTTGATGTCTGGATTCTGACTCAGAATGCCAACCATGATTCCCAGCCAAGCCGAGACTCGCCAAGGCCATGACGCCGGTGGAGCCGAGAGAGCCAGGATCAAAGGTAGACAATCTGATCGGATCCAGCATGGGATCGAGAGATGACAGGCAAGCAAGAGGGCTTCAAGGAGAGCTTTTGCTTCCGCTTCCAGGGGTGAAGAACAGAGAAGAGTGTCGGCCCTCCCATCACAAATAACTTCATGATCGTTGATCGCAACAACGCCATAAGCCGCCTTCTGGGGATCATTTATGAACGATCCATCACAGTGAATCTCTAAATAGGGATTGCTCGGGGGTGGGGAAATTTGCTCCAGGTTGGTGGTGGGCTGGCACGGGGCGGTGTGAATGTCTCTGGGGATCTTTGGACATGACGTCCAAGCAAAGCATTCATTAGCAGCCTTGGCGCAGGTGGAAGGCGGCCAAGTTCCAACATTACGAAAAACTTTTTCGTTGCGAGCTTTCCAGACATGCCAAAGAAGGAAGATGGCCAGCTGGACGGACGTCTCAGGGACGTGATCCTTGATGTCGAAAAGCCAGTCGAGGATACCGACCAGGGGGGAGGAGTGGGCAGGTTGGGGAACATGTTCTCCCAGGCCGCCCTTGCATGCTCGCACCCAAACAGGCAGTGGTGAACCGTCTCATCCATGGAGGAACACACCTGGCAGACCGGGGAAGGGGAGCAGCTTCGGTTATGAAGATTCCTTTTGGTAGCCAGGGCACCTCGAGCACATCTCCAAACGAAGAAACGCATCTTCGGGGGGAGGGAAAGACTCCAAATCCATTTCCATTTCTCCTTCTCAGTCTCGGGGAAGGGGTTAACCCAGTTGATGACCCCTCTTTTAATGTCATGGAAGAAATGGTAAGCAGAACTGACAGTGAACTTCCCTGTGTCAGTGAATCTCCAAGCCCAGAAGTCTTCAGCATCTTCCCTCCCGATGGGGACGAGCTTGACCATCTCCGCTTGGTGAGGCTCAATAATTGCGTTGACCGCAACATCATTCCATTTCCTGCTATTCACATCAATCAGGTCCTCCACTGTCAACAACCCGTGGCCTGAGTTCTGGAGCTTGTCCCCATAGAGACCAAGGATCCATGGATCATGAAAGACACTTGTACTCCTACCATTGCCAATGATGCGAACCGTGCCTTTCTCCACAAGCTTCCTGACTTCCCAAAGACTTGACCAAATCCATGATGGTTTTCCCCCTTTACGCGCTGTCAGGAAGTTCGATCCGGGGAAGTAGAGACCTTTGAGGAGGCGAGCCCAAAGCGCATTAGGTTCCGTGAGAAGCCGCCACGCTTGCTTTGCCAACAAGGCAAGATTGAACTCTTTAAAAGATCGGAAACCAATCCCTCCTTCCTCTTTTGGGGCACAAAGTCGATCCCCGTGACACCAGTGAATGGACTTCTTCTGGAGGTTTCCTGACCAGAAGAATCTTCTGAGCAAGGAATCCATCCTCTTCAAAGTTGCACCTGGCAGGAGAAAGAGACACATGATGAACGTCGGGATTGCTTGGAACACGGCTTTCAGCAGAGTTTCTTTTCCCCTCGGGGAGAGGAGGAGACTTTTCCAAGATTCCCCTTTCTTCTCCATCCGGTTGATCAGGAACGCAAACGTTTCTTTCTTCGACCGACCCCATTCTGTAGGAACTCCAAGGTAATGAGAGTGACAATTTGTAGGCGCGAAGCCAATAGTGTTGGTGATGTCCTCTTTCTCTGTCGGAGGGACATTATGGCTAAAGAAGACAGACGATTTTGAACCGTTGACTTCTTGTCCCGTGATGGCTCCATAGTCGTTGATGATGTCCATGATTCTCGTCGCTTCCTCAACTGTTGCTTTCCCGAATATAATTGTGTCATCAGCAAACAGACAGTGAGTAAGGATGGGGCAGTTCCGATTGAGTTTCAGACCTTTAAAAAGATTCAAGTCCACCGCTCTCTCAATCAAGAAAGAAAGAGCATTAGACATGAGGATAAACAAGAGAGGGGAAAGTGGGTCTCCCTGCCGAATCCCCCTTTCAGGAGTGAACTCTGGAGTGACTTCCCCATTGAAAAGGATGGAGAACTTGACCGAGGTGATGCATTCTTTGATCCACGAAATCCATATTGGGCTGAACCCGTAGCTCGTGAGAAGCTTGATCAAACACTTCCAGTCCACGAGGTCATAAGCCTTTCTCATATCAAGTTTCAGCATCATATCCCTTCGGTTGCCAGTCTTATGCTTCTTAAAATGGTTGAGCACCTCATGAACAATGACGATATTATCCTGAATTTGTCGCCCTCCAGTAAAAGCCGTTTGCAACTCATTAACCAGCAATGGAAGCCATTTTTGCAGTCGAGTCGTCATAATCTTCGTCACCACCTTGTACCTAAAGTTGCAACAGCTAATGGGGCGGAACTGGCTAATCAGCTCAGGTGCATCCACCTTGGGGACCAGGGTGATGTGAGTCCTGTTCCACCCTTCTGGAAGCTTGCTCGTGGCAAAAAAACCTATAATTTCTTGGCATAGCTCTTCCCCCACTGTGGGCCAGAACTTCCTGAAGAAGTGCCCCGGGAACCCATCCGGACGAGGTGCTTTAGAGGCCCCCAAGCTAAACACAGCCTTGCGGATCTCCTCGTCACCAACCGGTGCACACAACTCATCGTTCATTTCTTGAGAAACCAGCGAGGGGAAGCTATCAAGAGAAGAAGGAAGAATAAGATTCTCCCTAGCTTTAAAGAGGTCCTTGTAGAAATGAACAGAGTGTTGCTTGAGATGCGCTTCATCATCCATCCACTCATCATTAGAGTCTTTAAGTCTTAGGATTTTGTTTGAGTTTCTTCTCTGGATGGTGCTAGCATGGAAGAAGGAATTATTTTGGTCGCCAAGCTGTAACCATGAAACCCTTGAACGTTGAGCCCAAAAGGCTTCCTCTTCTTTTCACATGTCCGCCAACTCCTTCGTGAGAGTTTTCTCTTCCTCCACTTCATTCTGCAGTCGAACTAGTCCTTGGATGGCACATAGTCTCTCCTTGATATCCTTTTCTCTTCTCATTTTTTTGATTCTCTCCTCTTTCGCCCACATTTTCAATCTTAATTCACATGGGTGCAGCTTGTACTCCGAATCACCAGGCGTCTGCCAAATTTGCTCAATAATAGCTTTGCACTCCACATTGTCCTTCCATCTTTTGTCAAACCGGAAGGGGATCGCCCTTCTGGAGTCAGAAAAATCAATGTAAATTCTGAGCGGGCAATGGTCAGACTCAATCATATCTTCATGGAACACCAAAGCCCTCTCAAAATCAGTTCTCCAGGCTGCTGAGCAAACTGCTCGATCAAGTCTTTCCCTTATGAGTCTTTATCCTTGTTGTTTGTTAGTCCATGTGAAAGGTTGTCCCTTGAATCCCAAGTCGAGGAGCGCGTTCCGAAAGAGGAAGTACTTCAAAGGGGCTACATTTTCATTCCTCAATGGGCATCTCCCTTCTTTTTCATGCTCGAAAAGAGCTACATTTAGGTCTCCCACAATAAGCCAACTATCTCCTATATTGTCTCTAATAGTGCTAAGATGCTCCCAGAACACTCTCCTACCCAAGGTAGTGGTGGGTGCATGGACAAAAGTGCAAAAAAAAGATTTGCTACCATAGTTAATCCTAACATCAAAGTAGTTGCTACTGGAGTCAATGACTTGTACATCAAGTGTATCCCCCCACCAAATAGCTAAACCGCTACACCCATCCGAGGGTTCAACATAATCCGAATGCTGAAAAAACGTCGATCTTCTCTGGTTCTCCATGAAAGCAGAATCCTTCTTGGTCTCCATGAGAAATAAAATTGACGGGCCAAACTGCCGGCAGAATCTTTTGCAGTAGCTTCGTGTAGGGGGTAGGCCAAACCCCCTACAATTCCAACTCATTATCTTCAGTTGGGATGTGGTGGCTTAAGGCTGTCCACCGCCGCCTGTGATGAGGAAGTACCCCCTCCTCCCGGTTCTTTGTTACTACTGTTTCCCGCTGGCAGACACTTCCTCCTAGCTGGTATCTTCTTCCTCTGTTTCTCAGCACAAAAATTTCCCAGGTTGAAAGAGAGCTCATTACCCGCTGATGAGGGAAGCAGAATGGGCTCTGTGTCCGTTATCTCCAGCGCATATCTGTCTGCTGGTTTCCTTTTCTTTTCAGCCCGGCCCATCAGTCGATCAAAGTTTTGTTGGGCTTCCTGGACTAGTGTGAGAGGTGGGCTGTAGCTTCTGGTTAGCGGCCCACTGTCTCCTCTCATACTTTGGGTTGTCAAGTGGGCTGGTTGGGCAAGTGTGAGAGGTGGGTTGTATTCTTCCTGACTCACCTAATTTAACCCCCCACATCACCAAATCTGACCCGCCACATCACTTAACCCACTACCTCAGTTTCCCCAACCCAACTCATAAATCAACCCTACACAATCGTGACCAACCCTCCGCCTCCAGAACCACCGCCACCAAGAAATCGCTCACCGCCTCCAGAATTCCATCCTCCGTCATTCATCGCCATTCTCATCTCCTTGCCATAGTGAATCGGTGTAAGAGCTTCCTATTGCGCACCTCCACTGCCGGATTCGTGCGGGACCAACACTCTTGAAAAGGGATATGAATGAATGAATCCATTTTTCTTCTTCTTTCTTTGTAACAAGAGCTTCCACCGGTCCAACCAGCTTATCGGTCTCTGGTAGGGCAAAAAAAGAAACAGAGTTCCTTGTCATCTTTGTGTTCAAAGCTCCCCTGTGCAGTGGAGCCTTGAATACTCCATCGCTTCTGATCTATTAA